TTCCAATTCTTGACATACTTTAATAGCTTTTTTTAAACAATAGCATTTCATGCGCTCTTTGAGCAAAACAGCTATTTTTCTTCATCTCTGAAAGATCCCTTCATCGTTTTCATTTAAGTGCCTCTTTGAAAAGGAGTAATTACCACACCACTTCTTTTCAAATCTTATTAATTAGTAAATAGGCTGCCTATTATTATTGTTCTGTCCTTCAGTCATATACTGGTAGGAAGTACTATTCCCAAATATCTGGAAATGACTTGACACCAAGGTGACACCTTGCCAAAAAAGAGAAGAATAATTTGGACAAATGTCAAAGCCTTGGGGTTGATCCAGCTGGGTCAACACATTACAACTCAGGCATACTTCGTACTGAGAAGATTGATCAGCGTGTATTACTTCAGCCTGCAAGAAATACCATAAAAATGTCTAGCACATTTATGTTTTAGTCTAACCTTTATCCCGATATGCTAGTTTTCTAGTTACCAAAAGCAAGGCTGCAATATGTAATTATCCAGTTAATCAAATATCCATTTTGATTGGGTGAAAAAGGTGCCCATGATCAATAAGGCATCAGGCGCCAAGTCCCAAACCAATGGATTCAAGTTACAAAAAAGGAGATTCTGACTAAATATCAAGAACTTTCTGAGAATAAGCGCTGTTTTGACAGTGGAACATACTCCCATGAGAGGTGGTGGTCTCTCCTTTCTTGGAGGTTTTAAAGCAAATGTTGGATTTTCATCTGTCAAGTATTATCTAGTTGAGATTCCTGCCTTGCAGGGTACTGGACTAGATGACCCTTGGGATCCCTTCCAACTCTACAATTCAACTTAGAATCATAGCATCGTAGATTTGGACAGATTCTATGATTACACAAACAGTACTTAAAACCTGCAAATGCCACCTTAGAAAAGGATTCCCTCCTCTTTAAATATCTAGTTTGATTATCACTTTAATACTATCCAAGTTCAATATTATTATAATTAAATCAAGTTTAACTAAATCTAGGCCACAGCATCAGAATACACAAACATACAAAATCAGGAAAACTTTTAATCAAGGGAGAAGTTCTATCAACAGAACCAACTGAAGGATGTAAGAAAAACAAAAGAAGCCAATTTTAGCTTCACTTGATCTAGAGATGGAAAATATCAAATCAGAGCCAATATTGTTACAAAGCAGCTATTAATATTCTAACTCCTTTTTTTCCATCTAGGAAGAAGCTGTTTTTAAAAACAGATATGCACTAGTTACGTTTTTAAAATACAAGATGTGCCATGTGAGAACAACAGGGAGAACAACAACAGCTAGATCTGTGAAAAAATAACTTTTAACCTTTGGTACTAGCAAAACTTATTAGACTCAGTGGCCATATTTCAGTTAATGAAAACACCAACATATGTAATAATCACAGATCAATTTTGTCACCAGGAACAAGATAAACTCCTATGAGGAACCAAGATCTGTGCTTTCCAAAGTCACTAGGAAAATAGAAAGTTGTATCATAAAGGAAAGACCAGAGTTGTCTCTCCCTTTTCCATTTCACTCTTTTTGGCATTTAATTCAACTGTGAGAATGGAAGCGGAAAGTCTTTTTACGATATTTCAGTGTTTTGGGTTCTTCAGCCAAAATGTCCAGCTTAATTAAAAAAAAATGAAGCAAGAAGGAACAGCAACCCTAGCCACTAATGTCCACTTACAGTATCTAGAAGCAAGTTCCACACACAACGGAACAGACTTCTAGGTAAATAGGAAAAGGATTAAAATTTTGAAAAATAAAATAAAAAGCTGTCTATTTTCTGTCTATATTAAGGTATTATCTGATGAATAAAGGAGGTCACTTTTATACTGTGGTATATTCCAGGCTGATTATGGAATAGCCATGCCTGTAAAGTTTAGCTGTTCAACTGTGGAACAGATTCCCATGAAGGGTGGTGGACCCTCCTTCCTTGGAGGTTTTTAAGCAGAGGTTGGATAGCCATCTGTCATGTATGATCTAGTTGAGATTCCTGTAATGCAGGGAGATGGATAATGATGGGGTCCTTTCCAACTCTAGAATTCTATGATTTTATAATTCTGTGGTATCAGTGATTTACTGTCAGTTAGGCCCTACTAAATTTTCTCTACCAATATCCATTGGTTAAAATCCACTGTAATGCAAGGTGTTCACTCACACAATGGGGCTTTTCTCCTCCCTCTGCACCCCCCACTCAAAATCTTCCTGAAAGTTCCAATATTCAGCTTCATTAGATATCCACAAATTCTGGCATTATGAGGGAATTTTTTCCTCTATCGACTTTCTATGTGCTATGCATAATTTTATATGCTTATTTCATGTTGCCTCTTACTCATCTAAACTGAAATTCCCCAAAAGCAAAACTTACACCATTTGTTCAATTGCAGAATACTTTGTAGTGTGCAAACAACACAATCGCTCCAATGATTAGTTGAACACTGCAAGGCACTCCCACCCCTGAATGAGGGAGTCTGCTTCCTCTCCAAGGGGATCAGGCTGATGGAAACAGAATCTTCTAGTGCTCAGGAACACATGCTATGTGAAAAATTATCCAACATCTCCCAGCGCCTTGCATGGTAGCTACTATTGCATTTAGAATAAATCCAAGTACTTTATTATTATACATGATAAAGCTCTAAACTTAGTATTTGGGATTGAGATATGTAGGATATCTCAAAATTGGTGTTTTTAAAATGTATGGGCACATATCCACAATCTAACATTAAGCTGAAATACCCTGTACAACTAATGATAAAGATGGTAAAGGGAAAGGAAGGAAGAAGACAAATAACCACTCCTTTCAGGACAAGCTCCACACAGAAACATAATTTCTACCTGCATTAGTGGTTAAAAGACAAAACCAAAAACTGTGAAAGGCAGCTGATCTGGACTAAATATCAACAGAGTACATAATCTTTTGAACATGGCATGGGTGTTTTAAAGTGTTAGAAGAAAAGGGTGTAGTCAAGGGGTGTCAGTGAACAGACAACAACTTTTCTGCTACTTTGTACAAAGTCATTTTGCCAACAGAGACTATCTACAAAATAAGAGAGCATTAAAACCATGCCTCTTAAAAATTCTAGCAAGTTTATGTAGTTTACCAAAACAAAAAACAACACCCCCCGCATGCTTCCAATTTGCAAACAGAGTTCCATAAATACACTCACCTGTTTGCCAGTTGCAAGCATCCCTGCACCAAACACCCAGCACAAAAATATTCCCACCCCAGGTTGGCCATAAATAGAAGAGTATCAAGAGGAAACACAGAGAGTCCTCCATTCCCAGAGTTCTCTGCAGGTCAAAGAGTACCAAAGAGTGAATGAGATGTTATTTACATCTCTTGCAAGAGAGAGAATATTAGTTATTTTCCTTAAGTAGAGAGGAAAGAAAGACATGAAGTTTCTTTCCTTCCAGAAAGGCTTTTGCAAATCAGAGTAGAAAGGGATTTCATAGGCCACCTAGACCAACCCCCAGCTAGATCCAGGAAATCCAGAGCAAAAGCATCCCCAACAGATGACCAGTCTCTACTTGAAGACCTCCAGCAAAAGAAAGCTCAACCATATACCCCAGATAACTGATTATTGGTTTCATGTTCTTACCACTAAAAAGTTTTTCCTAACATGCAACCCAAGTCTAACTTAACATGCAACACTCTGGTAACTTAGGCCCATTATATATGCTCTTGCTCTGGGATAGCAGAGAACTATTCAGCCCTTCAGTATTTATGCTTGACAAATCTATGTTGGCTTCTACTAACCACTGTGTTTTGTCAAGCTTTATGCTTACAAATTTGTCCCTATCTAATCTGTTCAAGTATCTTTCCTGGTAGCAAAGCAGTCTAATCTTCCACTTTTCTGAGAACTGGACCAACATTTGCCTATCTCCAGTCCTTGCCTATTCTCAAGGATATCTAACATGATAGACAGAGATTCTGAGAATACATCAGCAGCTTCTTCTAGTACCCAAGAATGCAATACATCTGGCCCTAAAAACCAGAACTCTTTTAAGGTAGCTAGGCATTTTCTGACCAATTCCTCTTCTATCTTAAATTGCAATCCTGACCCTTAACTACTGTCGCAAGGTCACATACAGTTCCCCTTTTAGGAGAAAACAAGAGGCAAAAGTAGTTCCTTCTCTTTATTACCGGTACATACTAACATTTCATCATCCTTACAATGAAGCAGGCCTGGTTACCTTCCTCTTCCTTAAACCATACAATCCATTTCATTACATAGTATGCCAGCCTCAGTTTTCCTAACACTGTCCTAACAAGTCTGGGTATGCATCTGTATTTGCCCTCTGTGACGACCTCTCCTTCCTTTCATTTTTTCTAAGTCTTGGGGGGGGGTTAGTTCATCACCAAACTTTTTGGTCAGCAGCATCAGCTCTTTACATTTTGCCTCATATTTTTCTCCCATTAGAATTGTGATTTGCCTCTAGTAACTTCTTCACTTCATGAACTCCCACTAGTCTTGGGCTCCTTTCTTTATTAGTATATCTAGCCATGGAATCCTACCTAGCATTTCTCTGAGCTGATTAAATCCAGCTTTCCTGAAATCAAAGGTACATGTTTGGCTCTATTCACCTTAAGCTTTCCACATGATCAAGATTTTCAGCAGACTGAAAGAAAACAGCAGTGAGTTACTGCTTGCACTTTCTTCAAAAAACAACAACAGAATAAGGGGCACCATGAGGTGTGGAATGGGGGAGTGGGGTCAGTAGTACAACTAAATAATGGCTTTGATAAGACAAACCAAAAATCTGTGGACCTATGCATATGTATACAAACCATTTCATCTTCTAAAAATGCCACCTTCAGAAGGCATTTTTGCGAATGTTATCATCATTGTTGTTATTACCATGTTTCAAATACTACTAAACAGTGTTTATTAAGAATAAGTCAATAGAAAGTTTTCCTTCCAACAATTCCCCAAACTATAATGTGAGTAAAGTATAGCTTTGCTCCAGTTAAACCCAAAGCACCTTACCTGATTTTATAATGAGGTAAAGTATGTTTGCGCCTAATGACTTTCTTGAACTGGCTGACAATGATGGAAGTAAGTTGTGGCAAGGGCCTTCCTTCGAACTGTGACTTGACTTCAAGACCAATCACAGGCTCGTCGACAAAGGCGAAAGACCAGTGAGTGAAGGGCAAGCGGGTGAAAACCAGCCTCACCCGACCCACCACCCTAGAGATCTTGGCAAAGAGATATGCCGACTTGCCAAAGACAAGGTCGGCATCAATGGCCAAGTGGAAGCCACCGTTGTACTCAACGTCCACCTCAAAGTCTAGTTCCTCGGGGCATCCTTCCTCGCTACAGGTCACCGGCCTCAGGATCTTGATGTTCTTGAAAACGGGCACAACGTTCCCGAAGGCAACATCTCTCAAGCTGAGCCCCTCCAGCACCTTGCCTGTCACCTTTGTCTGGAGCAGCTCCTCAAACTCCACCTTGATCTTCCTGGTGACCCAGTGCCTGACAAAGCCAGTGTCCTTGAGCTCCCTGAAGAGAAAGAGACAGATGGCATTGAGCCAATAGAGGGTCTCCTCGGTGAACTCCACCACCGAGCTAGAGGAGGAGTCCGGGTGGGTGCCCTGGTCATTTTTGGAAGGGGACTGGCTGGGGGGCACGCTGCGGGAGCCAGCCCCCTCTTGGACCCCTCCGCCGCCAACGAAGCCGGCGAAGTACTCCTTGAGGCTGGTGTCGGGCACTGCCCGGGTGGTGTAGATGCCGGTGCTGGGCGCCGAGGACGGCCCCTCGGGGGCTTCGGGCTTCCTCCGGTAGAAGAGCAGGATCTGGCACAGCAGCGTCAGGCAGGAGCCCAGCAGAGCCGACAGCAGCATTCCATACACCGACAGCATCGCCTCAGCGCCTCTCGCCGCCCCTCACGCAGCCGCGCCGGCTCCCTGCGAGCCGCCTACCCCGCGGCCCTCGCCGCCTCACGCCGCCGGCGCCACGGCCAGCCCCGCTACCTCCATCTTGCGGGCAGCGGCTTGAGGGGAAACGGGCGCCGCCGCAACTCCGTCAAAAAACAAAAGCAACAACCCGGGGAGCTCGAGGTCGACGCAGCCCCCACCCGCAACGCTCGCTCCCCTCAGCCGGCCCCAGACGACAAACCGCCGCCGTATCCACAACTCCTTCCCTCCGTGGCCCGCTCCGCCTCACACAGCAGCAGCGGCCGCGGCATCCGGGTCTTTTCTCGTCTTCTCGCGTCCACCGCCCCCTTCCTGAGGAGAGACCAACTGCCACTTCTCTCCCTTTGGCTGCCCCGTCCCCTCTTCTGTCTGGATTGTAAGGGCTGGGGAGGTCCGGGAGTGGGTGGGTTACGTCATAGGCTACGCCGTCCCATGCGCTGACCTCATAATATTGCGGAGGGAGGAGGGAAAAAAAAGTAAGGCGGAAAAAAGGAGATAGGAAGTGCGCATGCGTGTTTGTTTCTGGCCCCTCCTCCTCCTCCTCCCTTCTGTTGCTTTTGGTTCCCGCTACTCCCCCCGCCCGTCCGGCATGTTCTGTGTTCAAGGCTGGTTGAGAGGTTAGTTAGTGTTTATAAGGCCAAAGGGTTGAAAGTGTGAGGGTCCTTAAAGGCACCGCAAGAAGGAAACGTGGTCGAAGCCTGTTTCGAGGGCTGAATCCTGTCTCCACCAGGGGGATTGCGGAAGCGGTGTTTTCTTTATCAGCATAGGATGCAAGCGGTGTTCTAAGAATAACAACAGGGATTCTGAATTCGGACACGCGCGCACCCGCAACCCGCTTTGCTGGCCTGGATTTTATTTGCTCTCTTCCCACCTGGTCCACCGACAAAGCAATTGCAACCAGCGCATTAGTTTATTGAACTTATAAGCCGCTTCCCACAACAGAACGTCCCGAAGCGATAGAGTAAAACATACACAAGCACATCAAAAATATAATTAGAGCAGAAGCATCAAATGCTTGGGTGCTGCCCGAATGTCGTGGGAAACATCCTTTTTTTGTTTGCACTTCACCGGCATGCTCCTCCCACCCGCGTCGTTTTCCGATCGCCGTGAAAATCACTCCCTTTCTCCTGCTTTTGGTTCAGATTTAGGCAACTACTACTGCCAAGAAAATGAATGAAAATATGCTAGCCAAGATAACATTGGCACGCAGCTTATACTTCACTGAACATAACAGTTTCAAGCAAGAAGGTAGCCGGACCTTGAAGGATTGCAGTGACTTAAATATGCCGAATCAACACGAAGGATGGCTTTTGTAATGAAACAGACAAATCGAAAGGAACCTGTAAACTTTTTCCCCCATGCAAAAATAAGGGGAAGAGGGAGAGGAGCGGGTGCGGAGCGGGAGTGGGTTTTGGGTGTGAAATTAGGCTCTTGTGAACATGACAAAATACCAAATCAAAGTCCAGCGGATGGGGGTTGCCTTTATTTACCTTTTTAAAACAAGGCCTTTAACCTTAAGAAACACGCAGAACTTGTATATTGCTTCATATATGCTGTTTACGGACCAATTACACAATGCAACTGAATTAGGGCTAGGCACAGATTTCATGATGCTAAAGGGAAAAGAATAACAAACACAGGTTTTCCGGTTTTCCATTAATGTTATCCAGATTCAAAAGTGCAATGGAGTATTAATTATTCAGAGTCACTGTTGTCCCTCTTTTCCTCTAAAATAATGGTTATTGGATGGTATGAAAAACTACATGTCTCTGAGTGATGCTTTAAGATTGCAGTCCAAACAGCACCTACAGTACTTGAAAAAGCTGAGCAACAGCAAGATTCCGGGTTCTTGGCACTTTGGGTAAAGAGTTTATCTTTGAGACAAACCTGCGACTAGTGTTTTTGAGAATAAAGGTTTGTTTTATACAAATTTACAACCTGAGTTTTGATGGAGGAAGTGCAGAACATTACACTCCAATAGTGGCTCTCATTGCTCCTCTCATAGCTTCAGCAAGCTTGGGTCTAAAGCAGCAGCCAGTCATGTCCCCATCCATGTCTCGATGCAGCCTGTTCTAGCCAGCGCACATTCAGTCTTGGCCTTCTCCTTCCCCCAAACCCTTGCTCAGTTAAAAAGACAGGTGGTGATATCACACCTCATCTTACCTGATAAGTGACCTAGAGATAGGTCAATTAATCAAGAGTCTAAATTTAATCACACTGGACAAAGAATTGATAATATTGTATCCTTTGTGACCTTACTGCACAATGCACTTCTACATTGTTGAAATAAAATAATAAATACCTGTAAGTTAAAATTGAGTTTTTTTAAAAATCCTTTTAAAAACCCTTAGACATGTCTTCTGAATTGTTTTGGGGACGGATCCAGGGCGGGGATAGGTGGGTGTCTGAGCTGCCCCCCAATCAACATACTGCAGTGCGTTGTGGGGGTGAATTTTTTTTTTAATGTCTGGCAATGTTTTGTTGGGTGCCATCCATCACCAAACACCCTCAGTGGGCTGCAGCTGTTTTGAGCAAGTCTGGTGTTCCACAAAATTTGAATAAAGAAAGAAAGAAAGAAAGAAAGAAAGAAAGAAAGAAAGAAAGTGCCTGCACAGGCAAAAGGATGCATGCCCAAAATGAAACCAGGTTTTCCACAACTCAGGGCGGGTGGGCTGCTGGCGGGGCAGGCAGGCAAGAACACACACACACACATTTTAACTCACTGTTTTGCACAGGTCTGGTAGATAAATATTCAGGGTGGGTGGGAACACATATTTCAAATACATCCCATTGAACAGTGCCCTCTTGTGTGGATGGAAAACAATGAGATGATGATTTTAATTGAAAGGGCTCGTGTGTGGACATACATATGCAAAAGCACACATTAAAAAGTTTGATGTATGTGACGCACAAACTCATTAGCACTTGGGTATGTATACAGCCCTAGTCCTAGGACCTTCTGGGAAGCACAGAAGCACATGAAGGCAACTACCCTCTCCTATATCTTACCCCTCAGTCCTTGGCATTCAGAGGCATATCAACACTGAAATTATAAAGCATTTCCTTTGTTTTGAATGACTACCCTCAGTTCACAACACCGTATTTCAACCTAACATAAGGTGTGTTCTTTATTTCCAACACAAGAGCTCTTGTTTTTGAAACTGGATCTGGCAACTCTGCTTTTGCATAACCACTGGAAGGGAGGCTGAAATTGCTGACAGGTGCAGCTGTCTAGCCCTCCAGTGTCACATAACATATCGGGATGCAATTGGCATGTGACACATGGACAAAAAAAATGACATTAAGGGATGTGAATAGATCCAACCTGGCCAGATAATGCAGGACACATTGCTGCAAAGAGGAGGAGACTGGGCAGATGGCTTTTTGTCCTCTTATTCACTCTCTCTCTCCCTCTCTCTCTCTCTCTCTCTCTGTGTGTGTGTGTGTGTTTTAAAGGGAGCTAAGGCAATTGTCACAGGTAGGTAGCAACTTTAATTCCAATTTGTTATTTTTGTACACCAAGTATTTCTGATTCCCAACATGTAGATTCATCTTGCAACATAAACACTGGCAGATTTCCAATTATGTGTCTTTTAAAGGTAAAGGTACCCCTGCCCGTACGGGCCAGTCGTGTCTGACTCTAGGGTTGTGCGCCCATCTCACTTAAGAGGCCGGGGGCCAGCGCTGTCCGAAGACACTTCCGGGTCACGTGGCCAGCGTGACAAGCTGCATCTGGCGAGCCAACGCAGCACACGGAAACGCCGTTTACCTTCCCGCTAGTAAGCGGTTCCTATTTATCTACTTGCACCCGAGGGTGCTTTCGAACTGCTAGGTTGGCAGGTGCTGGGACCGAGCAGCAGGAGCGCACCCCGCCGCGGGGATTCGAACCGCTGACCTGACGATCGGCAAGTCCTAGGTGCTGAGGTTTTACCCACAGCGCCACCCGCGTCCCTATGTGTCTTTTAGCAAGCTCCTTTTTTCCATTGTGTCTTTTGTGTGGAGAAGATGGATAGGGAGCAGTAGAACCTTGCCCTCTCCAATGAAGCAGGAAAGTTGGAAGATTAAGGAAAAAATAAAGTACTTTCATACTTTACATAGCGCATAAATAAACTGGGGAATTTGCCCTCACAAGAGATTGTGATGGCCACCAAAGTGGATGTCTTTAAAGAAGCTTAGACAAACACAAAGAGAAAAAGGCTATCAATTGCCACTAGCCATGATGGCTATGCTTTTACCCCCACTACTGAAGGCAGTATGCCTTTGAATACCAGTCGCTGGGAATCACAAGTGAGGAAAGTGTTGTTCTTGGTCCTCCAAGCAGGCTTCTCCTGGGCCACTGTGAGACCAGAATGCTGGAAACCAATGAACCTTTGGCTTGTTCAACAGGGCTCTTAAGTTTTTTCCTTTGCTAATCACATTACATGTATAACTATACATGTATAGTTAGGGACTATTACATTTACATTATATGAGATCAGCAGAAAGGCAGGAATGTGAAGCCCAGTCAAGCAAAGTGTGTGGAGCTACACTAAATCAACAGCTATGTTTACTGTGGCAGTTTGATTGCTTACCAGAAGCAACATACAACTCTTTGATTTCAAAGTTGCCACACTTCTGGGATTAATATTCAGGGCCATTAACATGATTTATTTTGTCCACAGCAATAACACAGGTATTATATGCACCACAGAAGGAGCCCACGTATTTTTCTGTATTAATAATATATAAATACGAGTTAATGAAGGGGGGGGAGAGAGCAAGAGAGACAGTTGTGTTAATTGACTTTCCGAGATGCTAATCTATGGCTCATTAGCTTTAAACATAGGTCTTGCAGCATGGTGCCATGTAGAAATAATGTACTTTAGCTGGAAACACAGCACAGTAAATGCAGCATGGTGTTCATCCATTATTCAGCTTATAAACACACACACCCCTCTATTTGTTCTCCGGAGAGTTTTAGGAAGCAGGATGATTAAAGGCACAGGAAGAGAGGTCTGCAGATAAACATCCATAATAAAAGCCTGGAGAGGAATAAAGAGCTGGCGCTTAAGTATGCAGGAAGAACTGTTGCCTAAGCTACATGCTGTGGTGGTAGTAAAAAAAAAAAAGGCATCTCAATCACAAAGCAGAGATGGGGAACCTACATCCCTCCAGATGTTGCTAGACTACAATGCCCATCATTCTTGGACAGGGCCAGTCCAAAATATGGCAGAGTGAGACAGTTATCTTAGGATGGAGGAGGGGTGAGGACATTGGTGCTCTCCAGATCCTCTGCTCACTTCATTATTAACTTGCCATATATTATTAACTTGGCATATATGTTTAAAACAGCCTTTTCTAGCTTCCATGACAAACTGCGAGAGCAACTCTGGTATCCTTCTGGCCACTTTGGCCAGAAGGTCTCATTCTGAAGGATCCCCTTGACCTTTTCTCAGAGTGAGGTGAGGCAGTGAGGAGGTAGAGCAGAGAAACCACCACTATTGCTGGTGA